ACAACACCGCCACGTCGTCGGGGTACCGCGACCGCTCCACCGCCGAGATCTGGCCCTTGCCCCTGGAAATGATCGACAATTTTGGTTGCGGCTGGGTCAGGTCCGCGGAGAAGCACAACTGCAGCGTGCACTCCCGCTTCTCCCGCCCTGCGCCCGCCCCCGCGACCTTGCGCGACCCCGTCGCCACGTCTTCTGGGGAACACCATGCCTGCGGGCGCGCGTTCCAACGAGCGCCCCCCCGTTCCCCCGACGCCCATTCGCGGCCGCCACGGCCCAGGAATTTCCGGGTGTGCTGAGGGGTTGTGCTGAGGGGTCGTGCTGAGGGATCGTGCTGAGAGGTTGTGCTGGGGGGTTATGCTGAGGGGTTGTGCTGAGGGGTTGTGCTGAGGGGTTGTGCTGCGGGGTTGTGCTGGGGGGGGGGGGGGGAGGTGGGGGGGGGGGGGGGGGGGGGGGGGGGGGGGGGGGGGGGGGATGCTGGGGGGTTGTGGCTGAGGGGTTGGATGGGGGGTGTGGGCTGGGGGTGTGTGCTGATGGGTTGTGCTGAGGGTTTGTGCTGAGGGGGGTGTGCTGGGGGGTTGTGCTGAGGGTTTGTGCTCTGGGGGTTTGTGGGCTGATCGGTTGTGCCTGAGGGGTTGTGCTGGGGGGTTTTTGTGCTGGGGGGGTTGTGCTGAGGGTGTTGTGCTGAGGTTTTGGTGCTATGGGTTTTGCTGAGGGTTGTGCTGAGGGGGTTGGGCTGAGGCTTTGTGCGGAGGGGTTGTTGCTGAGGGGGGTTGCGCTGAGGTTTGTGCTGGGGGGGGGTGCTGATGGGTTGTGCTGAGGGGTTGTGCTGAGGGATTGTGCTGAGGGGTTGTGCGAGGTTGTGGGGGTTGTGCTGAGAATTGTGCTGGGGGATTGTGCAGAGGGGTTTGTGCGAAGCGCGGTTTGTGCTGGGGTTGTGCTGAGGGTTGTGCTGAGGGGTTTGCTGAGGGGTTTGTGCTGAGGGGGTTGTGCTGAGGGATTGTGCTGTGGGGTTACGCTGAGGGGTTGTGCTGAGGGGTTGTGCTGAGGGCTTGTGCTGGGGGGGTGCGCTGGGGGGTTGTGCTGATGGGGTTGTGCTGAGGGGTTGCGCTGAGGGGTTGTGCCGTGGGGGTGTGCGGAGGGGTCGTGCTGAAGGGCGCGCGGGGCGCCAGCAGCCTAGATAATACAGCGCGCGAGGCCCACCCGCTGGATACACATGCGAGGGCCTGGCGTGCCCAGCCGCGCAAGGTACGAGGGCCGAGCGCTGGAAGGAATTGCGGCCGCGTGCGCGTGCAGGTCTCGCCGAAGCCAGTCCAGTTCTCTCGCCGGGGGTGGTCCTGACCGCTGCGCCCCCCTGCCCCCTGGGAAACGGTGACCCCTGGCGCTCTTTGGGAGGTCGCGAAGGCCTTGCCCTTCCCAGTGAAGTCGTATTCGCAGGGCACCTGGTCTGCGTTGTATCTCTGACCCCAGCCGAAGAAGCCCATGTCCCCGTCGAACTCGTTGGCGGCGCCCCACTCGGCGGGCAGAGGACTGCGCGCGCGATGCCGGAGGCCGCGGATCCACTCTTGCATCACCGCGGCCTCCTGCTCTGGCACCAGTCGGCGGCGATTCTTGATCTTGCGCCACCGGAATCCAGCCCCTTTCATGAACGTTGTGCAGAAGCGCTTCGTGGGCCCCCACACCTTCCTCGTCTTCCGCACGATCGGGAAGCCCACGTAACCGTCGCGGCCCTCGTCGATGCGGCCTCGGATCACCGCGTAGATAGCCCGCGCCTCATGGTACGCCACGTTCGCCGTCAGCTTCCGATTCCCCCTTCGAATCTTGATGAGCCGATTCCTCAGACACTTCGTGAAGATGCGCATCGGCTTCGTCCGCCACTCCTGCGACCTCTCCGCTCTCGCCGTCCTGCCAGCGGCGTGCTCCTGCGCCGCGCGCCTCTCCAGCGCGGCCAGCTGCGCCGGCTTCTTCCACTTGAAGAGCGTCGTGTAGGGAACGGGGGTCCCAGACGCCCTGTCGCGATCGTCCTTGTACGGCATCCCCGCGGCCAGGGCGCCGTTGTGCAAATCCAAGAATGTCAAGCACTGCTGAGCAGAGTACCGCTTCCGCGTCTCCGCGCCGCTGGTCAATTTCTCCCGCAGCCCGCTCTTGAGCACCTTCTTCTTGACGCGGAGCGCCTCGTCGGGATTCTCCTGGCCGCCCGCGTGCTCCGCCCCCTCGAGCCCGCCCTCTGGCTCCCGATCCTCCTCGGCCGCGTCCCAGGGCGCGGCCTCCAGCTCCTCCTCGGGCGCCTCCGCGCCCTCCAGCAGCAGCGCGTCTATCACGTCCCCGGGCCCCTCCAAGCGGGCACCCGCCCCTGGGGCGCCCTCGCCTCCGAGAAGGCCTGGGCGTTTCGGGCACTTGCCGTGATGCGAAGAGATCCCCTGGCTCGTCTTGGCGCGAAATTCGCAACCGGGATGCCCGCAGAAGAACGGGAACAAGGCATCCGTCGTCTTCGGGCCAGGGGCGAGCTCTCGACCGCCCGCGAACCACCTGGCACCGTGCGCGAAGAGCGTGCTCTGCTTCTTGCGCATCTTCTGCGGGGTCTCGGGGCCGTCGTCCTGAACGTCCTCGACGGCCTCCTCGGTGTCGGTTTGCCTATCTAGTGTCCTGCTCCCTCGAGGTGTGTGGTCCCCAGTTTGCACGACGGCGACCTCGGCGGGCCTCTTGACCTGGACGCCGAGACAGGCGCCAACCAGCGTCGGGGCGCTGCTTCCCTCTCCTGGGCATGCCGCGCGCGGGCCGCCACAGGTGAGCCAGTGCTGGCAACTCAAAGACTGGGGAAACCAGTCGTGGCACTTCGGGCACTTATGGAAACCAGGGAAGTCTGACATCCCCGCTGTGCTTGAGCCAGGATGACTACGATGACCACCGGGGGTTGTGCTGGGGGTTGTGCTGAGGGGTGGTGCTCAGGTGTGCTGAGGGGTTCTGCTGAGGGGTTGTGCTGGGGGGGTGTGCGGAGGGGTTCTGCTGAAGGGTTGTGCTGGGGGTTTGTGCTGGGGGGTTTGTTGCTGGGGGTTTGTGCTGAGGGGTTGTGCTGGGGAGTTGTGCTGAGGGGTGTGCTGAGGGGTTGTGCGAGGGGTTTTGCTGGGGTTGTGCTGGGGGGTTTTTTGCTGGGGGGTTGTGCTGGGAGGGGTGCTGGGGGATTGTGTTGGGGGATTGTGCTGGGGGGGGTACTGGGGGGTTATGTTGGGGGTTGTGCTGGGGAGTTGTGCTGGGGGGTTGTGCTGGGGTACTGTGCAGGGGGGGTTACGCCAAGAGGTTGTGCTGGGAGGTTTTTCGGGGGGGGTGCTGGGGTGTTGTGCTGGGGGTTGTGCTGCGGGGTTGTGCTGGGAGGTCGCGATAGAGGGGTCGTGCTGAGGGGTTGTGCTGGAAGGTTGTGCTGGGGCATGTGCTGGGGGTTGTGCTGGGGTGGTCGTGCTGGGGGGTTGTGCTGGGGGTTGTGCTGGGGGGTTGTGCTTGGGGGTTGTGCTGGGGGGTTGTGCAAGGGGGCGTTCTGACGGGGAGGGGGCTGGGGGTTGTGCTAGGGGTTGTGCTGGGGTTGTGCTGGGCGGTTGTACTGGGAGGTTGTGCCGGGGAGGGTTGTGCTGGGGGGTTGTGCTGGGGGGTTCCGCTGGGGGGGTTGTGCTGGAGGTTTGTGCTGGGGAGTTGTGCTGGGGGTTTGTGCTCGGGTGTTATCCTGGGGTTGTGCTAGGGGGTTGCGCTGGGGGCTGTGCCATAGTCGTCCAAAACTCGGATAGCGGGACAGTCCACAGCGCGTGAAACGCCTGTGGGAGACGCTTGTAAGGATGCTGGAAAGGGCATTTGAGAAGCTTGCAAGCTCGAGAAATGGAGCTTCGCAAAAGCCCAGCAAGACCTTCGAAGGAGCTTCGGAAAGGCTTCCCAGAAACGTTGTGAACACGGGAAACCGACTTCGGGACACGCTGCAAACCCCAAGCACAACGCCCCAGCACAACCCCCCCAGCACAACTCCCCAGCACAACCCCTCAACACAACCCATCAGCACAACCCCTCAGCACGCACAACTGGTCAGCACAACCAGCCAACACAACCGGACAGCACAACCGGCCAGCACGAACCCCCAGCACAACCCCCCAAGCATAACCCCCAGCACAACTCCCCTGAGTACCGCTCCATCACAAATCCCCAGCACAACCCCCCAGCACAAAACCCCCAGCACACACCACCAGCACAACATTCAGCACAACCCCCCAGCACAACTCCCCAGCACAACCCCCAGTGCGCACCCCCCGCACGAACCCCCAGTACAAACCCTCAGCACAACTGCCCTGCACAACCCCCTTGCACAACCACCAGCACGACCACCAGCACAACGTCATCGCAGTGACAATTTCTTAAATCAGTTTTTCGAACATCATTCACGCGATGACCGCAGGACATGGCACAAAACAAAGAGTTTTAGACATATGATTATGTAGGCCCGCGAGGCTGAAGCCGGGCATGCTGTCATAGTTTTTTGAAACCAGTGCCGCTGCAGCGCTGTCCACATGACCGTGCTTCCGTTTCGCTTGATCGTGGGCCGCCTTTGTACGATGCACACTGAAACTTTGAAACCGCTAGGTTTGGATTCCAACTGCACCTCTGGCAGCAGTCTCTCGTCCGACAGAACGACGACCTCGCCCAAGCGCGGGCCACCAGAGTACGAAAGGCCCCCGCTCGTTGATTGCACAGTCAACGATGAGTCAAATGCTGCTGCGGCCACCACAACGACGACATACGACGACGGAAGACGGACGACAGACGGCGACAGCCGACGGACGACATATCACCGACGACAGACGCAGATGCCGACGAAGGACGCAGATGGACGACGGTCCGACAGATGCAGACAGGCGACGGACGACCGACGACCGCCGACAGGCGCCGACACCGCCGGCCAACGGACAACGGACGACAGACGACGACGCGACGACGACGACGACGTCCTCGGGGGCGCGGGTGGGCTCCTCCAGCACCTGGAGGGCGCACGCCGTCACGCTGATGATGCCCCGCGACGAGCCGGGGATGTCCTCCTCGCGCCGCTCGGATCGCCCCGCCGCTTTCCCGAGACGCCCGGGGGCTCGACGCAATCAAGAGGACCCCTCCGCCCGATGACCCAAACATCCCGCGGAGTGTGCTCTCGTCACCTCGGCTTCTGGCCGGCGTCATTCGGGCCCGGGGCCCACCAAGCCTGCAGCCAGGACGAAACACTACCCCCAGGAAAGGAGGTCGAGACCTGGGGCCGCAGATAAAAAACACCTTCAGGGTTATGTTGCTCCCATCGTACTTAAGGACCACATCCCAGAAATAATGTCGAGCACCCCGAAAAGTATCGAAAAACGGTGTCGAGCGAGTGTCGCCTTCCAAGGCACGACGCGTGAAAGCCCCAAAGTTCCGGTCCTCTCTTGGTGCTCGAACTTCTTCGTGGTGCGCAAGGCCTAAAAAGCAGGTTGGGGCAACGTAGCCTTAGGGGCCGAGGCCGACTTCGAGAGACCCTCCGCGAGAGCGGCTCGGGAAAGGAGAGACACACCGTCGGTGGAAGGTGGTCGATCGGGGGCGCGCTGGCCCGACCTCTCTGGCCTCATGCCTCCTCGCTCCTCCTGCTCTTGCCCTGGCCCGGAGGAATGACTACCTGCCAGACCACCCCAACCCAACTCGAAGACCCGAATTTTGGGTTGGGGGGTATGGGCTCCATATATGTGTTGTCGATGTTCCCGGACCCCCCCCACTGGAAATGAAAGCCAAATTGAGGCCTTCGGGTTGGGTTGGGGTAGTTTGGTGCGTGGTGAAGGAAGCACGGGCCAACGAGCAACCATTGGTCGGAAGAGGTAAGTGGAAGCACGAAGTAGGAGGGCGTTGAAAATCCGCCGACCCGGTCGGCGTGTGGGAGAGGCTTCCCCGTCGTCCCCACAGCGTCGTCGCCTCTACTGCTTTCCGAGAGCTCCCCACACAAATGCACACTAATTTTGAACAGCGTCGTCCTTCAGTCGAAGGGAAGACCCTTCCCTTGATCCCTTCCCCGCCAGGGGGGGGTCCCGGGGCAACTCCTGGGGGGGATCCCCCCTCGCTCCGGGGGGGAGTCCCCCCTCGGGTACGCAGCCCCCGGGCTCTCGTCCTCCTGCGTCCTGGGGCTCCGTTGGCCCTCCGGGGCCGCCTGCGGGCCCTTTCAGCATATCTTAAGGCTCCTTTGAGACCTTTCGCCATTTTTAGACTCTCTTGGCAGCCTCTGGCGGCACTCTTGACAGGCTCTGCGGGCGCTTTTAGACCTCGCTTGACGCCGTCTTGGAACCCTCTCGGGCCACTTGAGGGCGCTCTTTGCCGATCTTGGCACTCTCTGGAGCCGTTCCCGAACCCTGGAGGAGGCTTCTTGAGCTGTCTGCGGACGACCTTGCAGGCATCTGGCGCCGTCTTCGAGCCATCTGAGGATATCTTGGACTCCTCTACCTCCATTGTCTTCGTCGTCGCTGCCTACAGGGTCGGCGGCATCGGCCGTAAGGCCTTCGCAATAGATTGGCTTCCGTCCGCCCCCTTGGGGAGGACGGAGAAGGTGAAGCCGCTCTTTCACTGAAATAGGAAAGCGCTTTACGTGGATACGAATACGGGAATCCGAAAATACCTGCTTTCAACGACCGACGGGTATCGGCGCACGGACTGATGTACAGTGGCGGCCCGACCACAAAACACCTTCCGCACCAAACCCAACCCTGAGGTTCCAGGACGCCCACGGATTGCTGGTGCGGGAGCGTCGCGCCCTCACAGCAGAACCATCGAAACCCAAAGAGAAGCCCAGGGCACCTTGGAGGCGAGCATTACGTCGGGCCTGTCCCCCTACAGGCCGATGTTGGACGAAAAAATAAAAAAAATACTCAAAAATACGTTTAACATGCACAAACATAGTCCAACATTAGTCCCCTGACTTTTTTTCCTATGTTTGAAGATTCCCCCTGTAGAGGGGCAGGCCCGACTTAAGGCGAGCGGGGTGCTCCTTGCCGTGGGCCTCCACCCGCACTCGGCACGCGCACTGCTGTCATGCCGCGTCCGATCGCCCCGCGAGCCTCGAGGGAAGGGGCACCGAGCGCCGAGGCCGAGCCCGACCGACCTGCTCCCAGCCTCCCTGCTGGCTCCCTCCTCCCCCCCTCCCTGGCCCTTCCCTCCTCCTCCTCCTCCACCTCCTCCTCCTCCACTTCATCCTCCTCTCCCTCCTCCCTCCAGCCTCCTTCCTCCTACCCTTCCCTCCTCCCTCCTTCCTGGCCTCTTCCCTCCTCCTCTTCCTCCTCTGCCGCCTCCTCCTCCTGCGCCTTCTCCTGCTCCTCCTCTTCCAGCTCCTCCTCCCTCCTGCCTTCTTTGTCCCATCCCTCCTTTGTCCCGTTCTCTTATGAACAACTCCTGCCTGCCGCACCCCCAGAGGTGTGGGTATGGCGGGCCGGGCACTTCGCCTGAGACTTCCTCATCATTGATGATACTGAAGCTTGAAGCTTGGAACAATTTCACGGACGGGGGCGGTTCGTCTTCAAACTGTGGCTCCCGATTTAGCCCAACGCACACTCGTCCTTACCAATTGCAGCAAGTTCAAGAATGGTGGGCGGGCCGTTTTCAAGCTGTGGCTCTCGCCATATATTCGCGCACAGTCGTCGTAAAATTTGCATCGGTGGAGGGCGGTTCTTTTTAAACATGCGACAGTCGCTCTAGCGCCGCAGACATTTGCTTCAAAATGTTTGCAACAGTCTCAAGGGTTGTATGGCTAAAGTCTCACGATTTAGGATTATCAGGGCGCAACTGTGAATTGATTGGCGGTGGTGAAGTCTAAGGAGTGGTTTTGGCACGATTGAGAACTCTCAGGACGCAGAACTCACGTTGCCTCGCGGCGCTGGAGCTCCAGGAATTGCGTCAAGCGCGGTTGGGGATTCTCAGACTGTTGTCTTCCAAAGGGGGCACTTCCCGCACTGAACAGAAATACATGTAGGGGGTCATAAAGAGCGAACATGCTGGGAGGGTGTATTGCAACATGATTTATTCGTCTTGGATTCACACTGGTCCACCTCCTCCTCACCTTCCTCCTGCTCCTCCCTCCCCCTCTATCCCTCTTCCACCGCTTTCCGCCGTCCTCCCTCCACCCTCCCTCCTCCTCCTCCTCCTCCTCCTCCTCCTCCTCCTCATCATCATCATCATCATCATCAGCAGCAGCATCAGCAGCATCAGCAGCAGCAGCATCAGCATCAGCATCAGCATCATAATCATCATCATCATCATCATCATCATCATCATCATCATCATCATCAGCATCATCATCAGCATGATCAGCATCATCAGCATCATCATCATCATCATCCTCATCATCCCCATCATCCTCATCATCCTCATCATCCTCATCATCATCATCATCTGCAGCATCATCCTCCTCCTCCTCATCATCATCATCATCATCCATCATCATCATCATCATCATCATCATCATCATCATCCTCCTCCTCCTCCTCCTCCTCCTCCTCCTCCTCATCATCATCATCATCATCATCATCATCATCATCATCATCATCATCATCATCCTCTTGTCCTCCTCCTGTCTCGTCCACCACCTCCTCCTTCCTGACTCCCTCGTCCCTTCTCGTCCGCATCCTCCTCCTCCCTCCCTCCCTCCCTCCCTCCCTCCATCACACCGTCATACCCTCATACCTCCCCTCCCTCTCATTGACAAGGAGCATGAGGAGGAGGATGAGAGGGGAAAGTAGGAGCAGGAGCTACGGGCGATTGGTCCACGAAGGCAGCAGTCGTCGACCCTCCTCCTCTCCCTCCTCCTCCTCCCCCTTACTGCGTCTGGTAGTGCAAGCGGACGCTCTGCAGGCTCCGAGGTGCGTGGGTGGTACGGTGCGCCACCCGCCGAGCGCCGGAGAGAGCGACGTGGAGCGCACCACGTGAGGCACCGCGGCGAGCGACTATAGCCTCCCTCCCTCCTCGCCTCCTCTCCCGTGCCACGAAGGACGGGGGTCCCGCGCCCAGACCTCGAACGGACTGGGAAAAGTCGGTTCGCGCAGGTTGCGTCCTCTAAGAGAGCCCTCGTCAGGCCTCAGGGCGGTCAAAACATAGTTCAGAATGAGAAGCTGGCCCCTCGGAAAGGGTCGGGACCTCCGGGACAGAACAGGGCCCGGAAAGGGCCGCCTTCCCCAAGGACCAAGGACTCGCCCGAGTCGTTTCTTTGACGGACCTGGGGCCCGCGAAGGGCCACAGGGGGCCCGAAAGGGACACAAAATCCTACAGGATCCATCTCTCTCTCAGGCCCACTGCAGTGTCCTTCATGACGATCTGGCCGCCGAGATCAGAGATCGACCCTCAGGCCGTCCTGGGGCGCGTCCTGGCCAGAGGGCAGATCCCGCCGTGGCGACGTGGAACCTCCCACGGGCTTCCCAAGAAGGGCCGAGGCGTCCAACAGGCTCGAACCTCGGACCTCGACGGCAGGGCGCCTCCCCCAGGCGGACCCTGCCTCCGTCAGGGCACAGCAGGGTCACCCGGTGGGCCCCCCCCGCCCCAGCGTGGTCCTGCGACCACTTCGCCGCGCGCAGGAGGAACATGATGCTGCCCTGCGGGGGCGGGCGCGGGAGGAGGGCGGCCCCCCTGGGCGCGGGCACTACGTACCTCCTGCTGGCCGTCCAGCGCCCAGCAATGACTTCAGGGAGTTCGTGGTCCTCAAGGGGAGAGGGGCGTGCATGTGGGTGTGTTGCTTTATCCTTCCTCTCTCGTCTTCGCTTCCCTTGCCGTGCTTCCTCCTCCCTCCCCGTTTATCCTCCCTCCTCTTGCATGCCGCCACCTCGTTGTCCTCTGCTTTGTGAGGGCGGGTCCCCCGCTCTGTGAGTGGATCTTCACGCGCGACCTGGTCTTCGACCGCTAAGAATTTGACCGTGACAGCGCCACGAAGGCTGAACACAACCATCGAGAGATCCAGCACGACTAGGTCCGCGACAGATGGCACTTCAACCGCTTACAATCTGAAAAATTGCGGGATGGTACCAAGGAGAACGTCAACACGACTGGTCGAACATTACTCGGGGGTCGATGTCAATCATCAGACTTGCAGCCAGCGCGACCCTGCCTGAGACCACCGGGAGCTCAACAAAAAACCGAACTTGACCACTTCGACCACAGTCACCGGCCGTTCCAACACGACGCGGTCGCCATCTACTGGGAGGTCACTCCTTAGCGGAGGCCAGTCCACAAGAACCTGTCCACAAGAAGCCCAACCTTCAGACCCCAAGACGTCCATGGATTCTTGGTGTGGGAACGTCACGATGTCCATAAAGAAACCATCGAAACCCAAGAAACCCAGGGCACCCTGGAGGCAAGCAGGGTGTTTCTTGGCATGGGCTGCTGCTGCTGCCCTCTCGGGCCTCTGTGTGGATTGTCCCTCCCCTGCAGTCGGGGATGGCCAGAAGAGCACCCCTCAAGAACACGAGACCCTCCGTCGGCAAACACAATCTGAACATCCAAGGTTACCCTCCCCAGGATTAACATGAGCATCCAACAAGCACGAAGAACACTACGGTACCCTCCCGAACCGACCTCGATCTGATGCCTCGGTCCGACTGTATCTCCCCTCATTCCTTGATTCGGCGGCGAGCCAGGGGGAAGTGAGAAGGAGAAGGATTTCGCAGAAGACTCCGAAGGCCCCTGGAGTTTTGACAAGTTTTCGAAGCCTGCCCAGAAAACACCGAAAACTTCTCAGAAGGCGCGAGGGCTTCTGAGAAGCCCCGCCGCCTTCTGAGAAGGCCTTCTCCCTCTCACTTCCCCCCCTCGCTCGCCGCCGAACATCAGCACCAAGGAGAAGAACGACTTCGTGGTCGAGAGCCAAGAAGCCCGCTGGTTTCGCCGCCTAGCCCGACGCCCGAATGGCGTTCGACCTCAGCGTGGCGATCGCCCAGGTGATACAGCGGAGACCAGTCCACAAGAAACCTTCCATCAGAAAACCCAACCCTGAGGCCCCAAGACGTCCATGGATTCTTGGTGTGGGAACGTCGCGCTCTCCACAGCAAAGCCATCGACACCCAAGAAACCATCCTGGAGGCAAGCAGGGTGTTTCTTGGCATGGGCCTCAACTGTACATGGCAGTGGAAGTTACAGCACGTCGGTATGCCAATGCTGCTGCGAGCAGCAGCGCGAAAGCCACCGGCACGACGGGAACCAGCAGCACCACGGCGACGGGGAGCCCGAACAGAATCGTGATCAGTACGGTTGGGACCAGCAGTACTCCGGTGAGCCGTACGCGCGCGCGTGCAGCACGTGTGTCCCGAGATCTCGCCTTCAGAATGACCCCAAGCAGCCCGAAGGAGGCCAAAATACACTCGACCAGGATAGTAAGGATGCGCGGTAAGGATGCAAAGGCCTTGGAACGCCATGTTGACATTTTCCGTGCGGAGCGCAGCAGAATGCAGAAGAATGCCCAATACCGAAGGGGCAAGGATGCAGGGGTAGCCTTGGAAAGTTGCCCCATCCTTACTATCATGATTGACTGTATGTCTCGAAGTGGTCTCGCTGGAGGCTCTCAAACCCTCGAGAAACCAGACTGATGAACAGTCTAAGCTCATGTAAGCATGTACGTCTTCTTGCAGTTTCGGCTGCAGGCCTCTGAGACGTCAACCAACAAAGCCCCACGAGTCAAAGAGGGTCCCGAATGCTCCCAGGAACACATCAAGAGAGTCTCAAACGAGCCCCAAGATGCAACTTCAGCCACAAGGGGACGATATTTGCTCTCCCTTCCGACCGATTACCTCCAGCGGCCGAAGGCCACCCGACGGGGCACCCGAAGACCTGCAGGAGACCTCAAGAGGACCACATGTTGACATAACGTTCGGGGTAAAAGTCCGAATTTTAATCAAGTTCCTAGCCAGCTGGAGCCAGTGTACTCGATGGTAACCGCGGGCGCGAACAAAACGCGAAAACAAATCAGCGCCGCGAAGCTAAGCATAGAAAAGCCAGGCGAGCAGAGATACGCAAAGCAAAGCCGCTAGGCGATTAACTGCTTGGCCTGATACCTGATTGTGCTCGCCTGAGCCCCCTCTTTTGCTTCACGAATGCTCTTGTCTCTTACTTCCCCTCGCACGGTCGCTCGCCTGGGCTAGGGCAGGCAGGCATGCCAGGAGCGCCAATGTGATGAACCATGCAAGGATACAGGACGGTGTTCTGCGTGCCAGGCATGAGCCCAGGATGAGTCTGGCCAGCAAGGCGTCAGCGTGCTCCGAACACGCCCCCCACCCCCACACTCGCCCCTCCTCCTCTTCCTCGTCCGTCCGCCTCCTCCTCCTCCTCCTCCTCATTCGCCTCATCCGTCCCAACCCCCCCACACCTCGACATCCCCCCCCCCTTCGCCAGGCCGCCTTGTTCCCACGCATCAGCCGCCTCGGAATGGTCTGCTCGTCAGCGCCTCGGAGTTTGTCAGGAGGAGGGAGGAGGACAGTGAGGAGCGGAGACGGAGGGGAAGG